ACCACAGACACACTGCTCCGACCACAGACACGCTGCAAGAGACCACAGACACGCTGCAAGAGACCACAGACACGCTGCTCCGACCACAGACACGCTGCTCCGACAACAGACACGCTCCGACCACAGACACGCTGCTCCGACCACAGACACGCTGCTCCGACCACAGACACGCTCCGACCACAGACACGCTGCTCCGACCACAGACACGCTGCTCCGACCACAGACACGCTCCGACCACAGACACGCTGCTCTGACCACAGACACGCTGCAAGAGACCACAGACACGCTGCGCTGACCACAGACACGCTGCTCCGACCACAGACACGCTGCAAGAGACCACAGACACGCTGCTCCGACCACAGACACGCTGCTCCGACCACAGACACGCTGCTCCGACCACAGACACGCTGCTCCGACCACAGACACGCTGCTCCGACCACAGACACGCTGCTCCAACAACAGACACGCTGCTCCGACCACAGACACGCTCCGACCACAGACACGCTGCTCCGACCACAGACACGCTGCTCCGACCACAGACACGCTGCTCCGACCACAGACACGCTGCAAGAGACCACAGACACGCTGCTCCGACCACAGACACGCTGCAAGAGACCACAGACACGCTCCGACCACAGACACGCTGCAAGAGACCACAGACACGCTGCGCTGACCACAGACACGCTGCTCCGACCACAGACACGCTGCAAGAGACCACAGACACGCTGCTCTGACCACAGACACGCTGCAAGAGACCACAGACACACTGCTCCGACAACAGACACGCTGCTCCGACCACAGACACGCTGCTCCGACAACAGACACGCTGCTCCGACCACAGACACGCTCCGACCACAGACACACTGCTCCGACCACAGACACGCTGCAAGAGACCACAGACACGCTGCAAGAGACCACAGACACGCTGCTCCGACCACAGACACGCTGCTCCGACCACAGACACGCTGCTCCGACAACAGACACGCTCCGACCACAGACACGCTGCTCCGACCACAGACACGCTGCTCCGACCACAGACACGCTCCGACCCACAGACACGCTGCTCCGACCACAGACACGCTGCTCCGACCACAGACACGCTGCTCCGACAACAGACACGCTGCTCCGACCACAGACACGCTGCCGACCACAGACACGCTGCTCCGACCACAGACACGCTGCTCCGACCACAGACACGCTGCAAGAGACCACAGACACGCTGCTCTGACCACAGACACGCTGCTCCGACCACAGACACGCTGCACCGACCACAGACACGCTGCTCCGACCACAGACACGCTGCAAGAGACCACAGACACGCTGCTCTGACCGCAGACACGCTGCAAGAGACCACAGACACGCTGCTCTGACCACAGACACGCTGCAAGAGACCACAGACACGCTGCTCTGACCACAGACACGCTGCTCCGACCACAGACACGCTGCTCCGACCACAGACACGCTGCTCCGACCACAGACACGCTGCTCCGACCACAGACACGCTGCAAGAGACCACAGACACGCTGCCGACCACAGACACGCTGCTCCGACCACAGACACGCTGCCTGACCACAGACACGCTGCAGAACCACAGACACGCTGCTCCGACCACAGACACGCCTCCGACCACAGACACGCTGCAAGAGACCACAGACACGCTGCTCGACCACAGACACGCTGCTCCGACCACAGACACGCTGCAAGAGACCACAGACACGCTGCTCCGACCACAGACACGCTGCAAGAGACCACAGACACGCTGCTCCGACCACAGACACGCTGCTCAGACCACAGACACGCTGCTCCGACCACAGACACGCTGCTCCGACCACAGACACGCTGCTCCGACCACAGACACGCTGCTCCGACCACAGACACGCTGCTCCGACCACAGACACGCTGCAAGAGACCACAGACACGCTGCTCCGACCACAGACACGCTGCAAGAGACCACAGACACGCTGCAAGAGACCACAGACACGCTGCTCCGACCACAGACACGCTGCTCCGACCACAGACACGCTGCTCCGACCACAGACACGCTGCTCCGACCACAGACACGCTGCTCCGACCACAGACACGCTGCTCCGACCACAGACACGCTGCAAGAGACCACAGACACGCTGCTCCGACCACAGACACGCTGCTCTGACCACAGACACGCTGCAAGAGACCACAGACACGCTGCTCCGACCACAGACACGCTGCAAGAGACCACAGACACGCTGCTCTGACCACAGACACGCTGCCGACCACAGACACGCTGCTCCGACCACAGACACGCTGCTCGACCACAGACACGCTGCTCCGACCACAGACACGCTGCAAGAGACCACAGACACGCTGCTCTGACCACAGACACGCTGCAAGAGACCACAGACACGCTGCTGCAAGAGACCACAGACACGCTGCTCCGACCACAGACACGCTGCTCCGACCACAGACACAACACGCTGCTCCGACCACAGACACACTGCTCTGACCACAGACACGCTGCTCTGACCACAGACACGCTGCAAGAGACCACAGACACGCTGCTCCGACCACAGACACGCTGCTCCGACCACAGACACGCTGCAAGAGACCACAGACACACTGCTCTGACCACAAACACGCTGCAAGAGACCACAGACACGCTGCTCCGACCACAGACACGCTGCAAGAGACCACAGACACGCTGCAAGAGACCACAGACACGCTGCTCCGACCACAGACACGCTGCAAGAGACCACAGACACGCTGCAAGAGACCACAGACACGCTGCTCCGACCACAGACACGCTGCTGCGACCACAGACACGCTGCTCTGACCACAGACACGCTGCTCCGACCACAGACACGCTGCTCCGACCACAGACACGCTGCTCCGACCACAGACACGCTGCTCTGACCACAGACACGCTCCTCCGACCACAGACACGCTGCTCCGACCACAGACACGCTGCTCTGACCACAGACACGCTGCTCTGACCACAGACACGCTGCTCCGACCACAGACACGCTGCTCCGACCACAGACACGCTGCTCCGACCACAGACACGCTGCTCTGACCACAGACACGCTGCTCTGACCACAGACACGCTGCTCCGACCACAGACACGCTGCTCCGACCACAGACACGCTGCTCTGACCACAGACACGCTGCAAGAGACCACAGACACGCTGCAAGAGACCACAGACACACTGCTCTGACCACAGACACGCTGCTCCGACCACAGACACGCTGCTCCGACCACAGACACGCTGCAAGAGACCACAGACACGCTGCTCCGGCCACAGACACGCTGCTCCGACCACAGACACGCTGCTCCGACCACAGACACGCTGCAAGAGACCACAGACACGCTGCAAGAGACCACAGACACACTGCTCTGACCACAGACACGCTGCAAGAGACCACAGACACACTGCTCCGACCACAGACACGCTGCTCCGACCACAGACACGCTGCAAGAGACCACAGACACGCTGCTCCGACCACAGACACGCTGCTCCGACCACAGACACGCTGCTCCGACCACAGACACGCTGCAAGAGACCACAGACACGCTGCTCTGACCACAGACACGCTGCTCCGACCACAGACACGCTGCTCCGACCACAGACACGCTGCTCTGACCACAGACACGCTGCTCTGACCACAGACACGCTGTTCCGACCACAGACACGCTGCTCCGACCACAGACACGCTGCTCCGACCACAGACACGCTGCTCCGACCACAGACACGCTGCTCCGACCACAGACACGCTGCTCCGACCACAGACACGCTGCTTCTAATGGAGACATTTATTTTATCTTTTTAAAACAATTAAACCTTGGCCCAGAACAATGTCATTTTTTATTTTTTGGGATTTATTTTTTAATGATGTAGAAGCAGTAATAACACAACTCATTATTTGAATTGTTTTTGTAGTTATAGATCTTCACCAAACGGTTGATATGATTAAGATAAGACAATATAAAACTTTATTGATCTCACGATGGACAGATGCAGTTTTTAAACTGATTATATTTTAGAGAGAGACAGATTTCAGCTCGACCCAGAAACACTGAAGGTGAACGTTTGTGGATCTCTGAGAACCTCTCGTTTGATAAAGCTGCTTCTACATTTCCCAGGAATCTGAGAAAACACAGGCTTAAGAGAAAGGATTGGGCTACAGTCGCACACAGCTGCACAGACACACACACACACACAGACACACACACACACACACACACACACACACACACACACACACACACACACACACACACACACACACAGCTCTCCAGGCTGCAGATACACTCACAAACACACACACAGCTCACGAGGCTACACAGACACACACACACACACACACACACACAGCTCTCCAGGCTGCAGATACACACACACACACACACACACACACACACACACAAAGCTCTTGAGGCTGTGTGTGTCTTTTGTGGTGAATAATAAGTGTTGACATCAGACAGTTTGTGTGTCATCAGAGTGTGTTGGATAAACGGCCAACGATCACTTAAGAAAATACTTTCAAGTCAAACTGACACAGAAGCCGCGCAGCACAATGCACAGATGAAGCCTGGTCTCACCGCACCATAGTACTCATTTCATTTGTACTAAGGTCTGGATCTGCTCCATGGACTCCGTGAACAGGTGGGAGGGGCTCCGTGAACAGGTGGGAGGGGCTCCGTGAACAGGTGGGAGGGGCTCCGTGAACAGGTGGGAGGGGCTCCGTGAACAGGTGGGAGGGACTCCGTGAACAGGTGGGAGGGGCTCCGTGAACAGGTGGGAGGGGCTAACTGCTTTTGGACCATTGGATCTGAGTTTACTGTGACGTATGTAATGAGCCCGAGTGAGTGATCACGTAAGAAATGATCATGGACCAGAGTTTACACATGATAAGACCAGACGTACATGTAGGAGATGATCATGGACCAGAGTTTACACATGGTAAGACCAGACGTACATGTAGGAGATGATCATGGACCAGAGTTTACACATGGTAAGACCAGGTTAATGTTGACTGTTCTTACCAGCGATAATAGGAGCCAAGCGGAAGATGTCGGAGAGTCGGCTGTTCACGGGCTCATACGGGGAGTACTCCAACAAGTCATTACCTGCACACACACAAGACACACAACTTCAACACACACACAGGACACACAACTTCAACACACACACACAGGACACACAACTTCAACACACACCTATTTGAACACAAGAATTAAAATGTTAAAACACACACAGAGCCATTGGTCCATACAGAGCAGAGACAAAGTCCATAAATGTTGCTCTCTCTGAACACAAGATGGCGCCGCCCAGGGCTGCTATGGTGACGACTTGTGTTGCGTTCTGTTTGTTTGTGTCACACGTTTCGTGCGAGCCCTCCTACACAAGAGAAGAGCTGCTGCACATTTGGTGTTCTATCCCACTGGATATTGTACCAACACTACTCACCCGATCCACGGATGTACTGGATATTCTGCTGAGGGGGACAGCGCTCTTCGCCAGTGCTGTACGCTGGACCAGGAGACAACGAGGGAAGCGAGGAGGTTGTCTGGTTCGCCTACGGCGGAGAAGTTTGCGTCCACCGCTGCCAGGAATATTCCTCTGCAACGTGAACTCTTTACCCAATAAAATGGATGAACTCCGGCTGCTTGTCTCACGGGAGAAGGACTTCAAATCCACGGCTGTCTTCGCGTTTGTGGAGACGAAACTGACGCTGTCAGTCCCGGACGGGGCTGTACTGCTGGAAGGTTTTTCCGCGTTTCGCTCGGACAGAGACTTCGAGGCGGCGGGGAAGTCGTGTGGAGGAGGTCTAATCTTCTTTGTGAATGACTGCTGGTGCTCTGATGTGACAGTGTTGCAAAGACACTGCTCTCCTGCAATTGAAACGCTTCTCATCCTCTGTCGTCCATTCTATTCCCCCCGTGAGTTTAATGCGTTCCTCCTTGTGTGTGTTTACATTCCTCCGGACGCTGACGTCACCGCAGCAGTGGACACACTCGCAGAACAGCTGTCGGGGGCGGAGCGCAAACACCCGGACAGTTTTGTTGTGGTGCTTGGGGACTTTAACCAGGCTCATCTGAGTCGGGCTCTCCCCAAATACAGACAGCAAGTGACATGTGCTACTAGAGGGGGAAATATTCTAGATCACTGCTACTGTACCATCCGTGAGGCATACCATTCTGTCCAACGTGCTGCTCTGGGCAAGGGTGATCACCATCTCATCTATCTGATCCCTCGCTATAGGCAGAGATTGAAAATATCAAAACCTATAGTGCGTAGTTTCAGAGTGTGGTCCAGCGAGGCAAGTGAGAGACTATGTGCCTGGCTGGAGAATGCTGGCTGTGACCGGGACTTTGTTGTGTGGGCGGGGCCTGAGGCTGGAAACAATCTGGATGAATACACAGATACTGTGACATCATTTATCAGCCTCGGCGAGGAGGTCTGTGTCCCCCTCCGCCACAGGAAGATCTACAACAACGACAAGCCCTGGTTCTCAGCCCATCTCAGAAGGCTGCGGTCAGAGAAGGAGGTGGCCAGGCGGAGCGGCGACGTGGCCCTGTTTAGGCAAGCCAAATATGAGTTTGCCAAAGCGGTGAGGGAGGCAAAACACCGCTTCTCGGAGAAACTGCGGCGGCAGGTCTCTGAGGGGAACTCCTCCTCTGTCTGGAAAGGACTTAAAATCATCACCAACTACAGGCCCAGGTCCCCGCAGGCATCTGACAACCTTCCCCTCGCCAACGAGCTCAATGAGTTCTACTGCCGCTTTGAGAAAGATAGTTCCCCCCCTGCCCTCCACCTCCACCCATCCCGGCCACAACCACTTTTCTCTTTCTCCCCCCCTCCCCTACCCCCTCTCACTGTCACAGAGAGAGAGGTCAAACTGTTGTTCAGAAGCCAGAACCCCCGGAAGGCGTCCGGCCCGGATTCTGTCTCCCCCTCCGCTCTGAAGCACTGCGCTGATCAGCTCGCCCCGGTGTTTACCAACATCTTTAACACCTCGCTGGAGCTTGGTCAGGTCCCCGCATGCTTCAAGGCCTCTACCATCATTCCCGTCCCCAAGAAGGCCAAGGTCACAGGCCTAAATGACTACAGACCTGTCGCCCTGACGTCTGTGGTCATGAAGGTCCTGGAGCGCCTTGTCCTGGCCCATCTGAAGCGAATCACTGATCCTGTGCTGGATCCGCTGCAGTTCGCGTACAGAGCCAATCGCTCCACGGAGGACGCCGTGAACATGGCTCTGTTCTACACCCTTAAACATCTGGACACTGCCGGCTGCTATGCCAGGATCCTGCTCGTTGACTTCAGTTCGGCTTTTAATACCATCCTTCCACCCATCCTAGAGCACCAGCTGTCCCTGCTGCAAGTTCCTGCCCCCATGCGCAGATGGATTACGGACTTCTTGACAAACAGGTCCCAGCGGGTGAAGCTGGGGAAGAGCATTTCCAGCTCTAGGATCACCAACACCGGTTCCCCGCAGGGCTGTGTCCTGTCCCCACTACTGTTTTCCCTGTACACCAACAGCTGTGTCTCTCTCCACCCGTCGGTCAAGCTCCTCAAGTTTGCTGACGACACCACCTTGGTGGGCCTCATCTCCAAGGGGGATGAGTCGGCCTACAGGAGGGAGATCGAGCGGCTGCGTAACTGGTGCAGCAACAACAACTTGGAGCTTGATGCTCTGAAGACAGTGGAGATGGTGGTGGACTTTAGGAGGGACCCAACCCCGCCTCCTCCTGTCATGCTGGGCGGCACTCAGGTGGAATCTGTCCAGTCCTGCAAGTTCCTGGGGATAATTATCTCCAGAGACCTCAAGTGGGAATCCAACATCACAGCCCTCCTGAGAAAAGCCCAGCAGAGGATGTACTTCCTTCGTCAGCTGCGGAAATACAGACTGTCGAGGGCCATGATGACCCAGTTCTACTCGGCCATCATAGAGTCTATCCTCACTCACTCCATCATCACCTGGTTCCCCGCTGCAGCTGCGAAAGACCTGGTCAAGCTGCAGCGGGTGATACGCTCTGCGGAAAGGGTGATTGGCCATCCCCTGCCCTCCCTTAAGTCCCTGCACGACTCCAGGGCACTGAGGAGGGCGAGAAAGATCATGGCTGACCCCTCCCACCCTGGTCACAGCCTCCTCACCCTGCTCCCCTCTGGGAGGAGGATGCGGCATCTGGGGGCTAAGACAGAGCGCTACAAAAACAGTTTTTTCCCCTCAGCGGCCAGGCTGCTCACTGACGCTGGTTTCCCTTCTTCCCTTGCCCCCTAGGAACAAGGACTGAACACTATGGCACTTTATTACACTATTCTATTTATATCTCTTGCACTTTTTGTTAAATTATATGTGAAAAAAAAAGATGAATGCACACTGTCATGTTGCCAAGTCAAATTCCTATGTGTTTTGCACAATGGTAAATAAAGTAATCTGAATCTGAATCTGAATCTGAATCTGTTGATAAAGTCCATAAAAATAATAAATTTGTGTTTTTGATCATCACCTTTGACCCTCCTAGTAAGAAGTAGTCAGTAAATAACAGCATGTTGGTAAAACATACACGGAGAGCAGCTTCAGTGACAGACTAATTCACCCTCGCTGTGTGAAGGAGAGGTTCTTTCCTTCCTGCTGCTGTCAGACTGTACAACGAGAACTGCTGAGTCTGTACATGTCATTCATCTGCTCCCTGTGTCTCTCACTACTGTCCTGTCTGTGCGCTGCAACACTGACATTTCCCCACTGTGGGAGGAATGAAGGAGTTCTTATCTAATCTTAACCTATCTGCAGAACATTGGAATGATTTACCAAAGAAGGAGTGACAATTTATTTATATGGCACTAAAAAGATCTGGCTTTTAACAAACGTATTAATGAAGATAAAAGTGCATTTCAATTGGTTTTCTGATGGTACTTGTAGATCTATAACAGGGGTCTCTAACCTTTGACCCGGGAGCTACCAGTAGCTCGCCTCGCCAGTATTTTTCTAACTTGCTAACCCTAACCCTAATCAAATCCTTCTTGGATAACGCATTAGGTTCTTTACCGTTACACAATTTGACTTTTTCGACGTATCGATCACGAGAATTAGAATCTAAAGTGATGAAAATGACAGTCTAGGATCGTGTAGATATCCAGAGTATGTCGTGGAAAAATACTGCGTCGTGCATATTGTTAGAATGATGAGAACTTTATCCACAGTAGCTTCAAAGTGTCGTGAAATATACAAAAAAACACAAAAATAATCGGAAGAAGAATCACAGCATTTGTGTTGCTCTGACATCACTTCTTTAGCTGGAGGTTGATGCGTCAAGCCAAGAATACCATGTGGTCTCTCTCTATGGTCCAGTACCATGTGGTCTCTCTATGGTCCAATACCAAGTGGTCTCTCCCTATGGTCCAATACCATGTGGTCTCTCTATGGTCCAATACCAAGTGGTCTCTCCCTATGGTCCAATACCATGTGGTCTCTCTATGGTCCAATACCATGTGGTCTCTCTATGGTCCAATACCATGTGGTCTCTCCCTATGGTCCAATACCATGTGGTCTCTCCCTATGGTCCAATACCATGTGGTCTCTCTATGGTCCAATACCATGTGGCAAAGGCACAGTTTCGGGCGAGTTGACTTTTCCTAATGGCGCTGAAACCGCCGCAGCTGACCGTGACCTTTGCGCCGCAGCTGACCGTGACCTTTGCCCGCAGCTGACCGTGACCTTTGCCCGCAGCTGACCGTGACCTTTGCAGTCCCAGCTGACCTTTGCCCGCAGCTGACCGTGACCTTTGCAGCCCCAGCTGACCTTTGCCCGCAGCTGACCGTAACCTTTGCAGCCCCAGCTGACCTTTGCCCGCAGCTGACCGTGACCTTTGCAGCCCCAGCTGACCTTTGCCCGCAGCTGACCGTGACCTTTGCAGCCCCAGCTGACCTTTGCCCACAGCTGACCGTGACCTTTGCGGCCCCGCCACGGTCCACAGCCGCGGCCGTCTGTACCTTGCAGACTCTGGAAGATGCTCCAGAAGATCCTGAGGCAGTTCTTCTCCTTCTTCATGCCCCGTCGGCAGCGGCAGCGGTTCAGCGGGCTCTGCTTCATGGCGTCGATGGCGCTGCGGCATTCGCCCTGCGCCTCGGAGCCCGTCACGCCGCTGAAGTTGCTCTCTCGACCCGCCACGCACTGCCTCATGGTGCGGTACCTGGTGCTGCAGCTGTACTCCTTCAGACACTGCTCACTCGCCCTGACGCAGTCCACGGGCACCGAGCGGGCGCCGCCGTCGGACTTCAACGCCACGCCCACATCTGCAGGAGAAAACGCAGAGATCAGAGCAGGACGCACAAACCAACGCCAACAACACACTCTACAGAGAGACGACACTCTGAGAAGGTCCAGGGGTCTACAACCTGTGTCACAGAGAGCTACTGTCTCAGGACGACAAAGGCAGAGAACTACTGTCTCAGGACAATAAAGACAGAGAGCTACTGTCTCAGGACGACAAAGGCAGAAAGCTACTGTCTCAGGACAATAAAGACAGAGAGCTACTGTCTCAGGACGATAAAGGCAGAGAGCTACTGTCTCAGGACGATAAAAACAGAGAGCTACTTTCTCAGGACGATAAAGGCAGAGAGCTACTTTCTCAGGACAATAAAGGCAGAGAGCTACCTCGGGACGATAGTAAGTAAGTAAGTCATATTTATTTATATAGCACATGTTACAGACCAAGGTACAGACCCAAAGCACTTTCCAATGTTCAGAGTCAGATATTGTTCCAATCCTTCCACACACGGTGATGACAGAAGCGAGTCCAGAACACACTGGACCATCAGCTCCAACACCATCATTCACTCTCTCATTTACATTCAGACCTATTGTGCATGTTTTTAGTGGTAGCGGACACCGGAGCACCCGCAGGGAACCTACACAGACACAGGGAGAACATGCAAACTCCACTCAGAAAGGCCCTGTTCCGACCGGGATTCGAACCCAGGACCTTCTTGCTGAGAGGCGAGAGTGCTAACCACTCAGCCACCGTGCCGTGCCGCCCAGAGAGGCAGAGAGCTACTTTCCCGGGACGATAAAGGCAGAAGAGAGCTACTTTCCCAGGATGATAAAGACAGAAGAGAGCTACTTTCCCAGGATGATAAAGACAGAAGAGAGCTACTCCTTTAGCCGCCCTGGGAATAATGTGGTGATATATCGGTGTGAACGAGTCTGATTTTAGGAACAGACGTTATTTATCACATATTTGTTACTACAGATATTTACAATAATAAATAATGATAATAACACAATCTGAAGTATTAGTGTATTTTTTGATTTGTTCATTTCTAAATCCTTTGGCGAGCTACCTGCAGGGGGTGGAGAGCTACTGGAGACCCCTGATCCAGAGAGAGTCCAGGGCAGGGGTCTCCAACTTCTGTGGTGGCCCCTCAATGATGAATATCCGCCTCTGTGTGAGACACTTTTACACAACACAACTTTACAAATACAATGTGTGTAATGTTTGACTATGAAGTTTATTAAAGTTTGTTCTAAAACTCACTCTTTCTCTTTGGCTTTTTATTGATTTTGAATTTTTTTTTGCCTCTGCTTTGTCTTCTCTAATTGTTATTTTCTGCATGTCTTTTTGTCTGCAGCACGTTGGTGTCTGTAGTGCTATATAAATAAACTGGACTGAGTATTGAAAGAAGTGTGATTCAGAAGAAGGAGAACTGCCGATGTGTGTGTACGGATGTGTGTGATTCTCTGATCTGTGGAGGAGAGATCAACAGTTTTGTAAAGTCTGAGAAACTTCTGCTGTGGTTTAGGGCGATATAAGAAAATATTGAACTGAATTAAAAACTAAAAATGCCTGAGGACCGCAACAACCCGCTCCAGGCTCTCCCCGTTTCCCCCGGACGCGTCTCTGTCTCATTCTAGTCCTGAGAGAGTATAGGTTCGAGTCCCCTGCTCTGTACAGTCTTCAGTTGTACTCACCTTGGAGCGAAAGGACCAAGACTAAAGTTGTCAAAAACATGTTTCGCTGTGATTTTGTTCTTACAGATTGAATCAAGCAAAAACCAGGTCGGTCCCTTTTTCCGCGCACGGCCGCGTCACGTCGATCCAAGCGTCAACAACACGTCTTTTACATCCATCATTAGTTCGTGCGTCCTGGTTCCTGTCGCGCGTTGGACGTGGAGCTTCCCCCCCGGACTGAGGCGAACCAGAGCGGGCCAACCAGAGCCAAACAGCTGTCAAACTTTTGCCCAGATCGAAGAGTCTTCACCAAATAGACTTTTTGACGCACGCAGTAAAGTTGTGGTGTCTTTGCGCTTCAGCGTAACGTGATACGATCCGTCAGAAAAGTCGCAGCGGCACGAGCGGCAGGAGCGGCAGGAGCGGCAGGAGCGGGTACATTCCGTCAGAGGAGCCCGTTTGATCCGTGCCCGCGGTCCCTGTGCGCTCCTCTCTCTCTCTCACGGATAAACTGAAAAACTGGGAAGGTCCGGAGCAGACACGCCGCCCGTGACGTCATCGAGACCCCCGCGTGCGCACAATCACAGAGGAACGTTTAAAAGGATCCACTGTCAGACTGAGGAGGAGGAGGAGGAGAGAGGGGGAGGAGGAAGAGGAGGAGGAGGAGAGAGGGGGAAGAGGAGGGGGAGGAGGAAGAGGAGGAGGAGGAGAGAGGGGGAAGAGGAGGAGGAGAAGAGAGTGGGAAGAGGAGGAGGAGGAAGAGGGGGAGTAAGAGAGATGGGGAAGAGGAGGAGGAGAGAGGGGGAAGAGGAGGAGGAGAGAGGGGGAAGAGGAGGAGGAGGAAGAGGGGGAGTAAGAGAGATGGGGAAGAGGAGGAGGAGAGAGGGGGAAGAGGAGGAGGAGGAAGAGGGGGAGTAAGAGAGATGGGGAAGAGGAGGAGAGAGTGGGAAGAGAAGGAGGAGGAAGAGGGGGAGTAAGAGAGATGGGGAAGAGGAGGAGGAGAGAGGGGGAAGAGGAGGAGGAGAGAGGGGGAAGAGGAGGAGGAGGAAGAGGGGGAGTAAGAGAGATGGGGAAGAGGAGGAGAGAGTGGGAAGAGGAGGAGGAGGAAGAGGGGGAGTAAGAGAGAGGGGGAAGAGGAGGAGAGAGTGGGAAGAGGAGGAGGAGGAAGATGGGGAAGAGGCGGCAGAGGCGGCAGAGGAGGAGCAGAAGTGTTAAAGAATTTTCGGAGTATCATCAGAATTATTGACTTTTCTTTGTTGTTTTTGTCGTTTGTTTTTTGTTCTCTTCCTGTTTTTTATCCCATGTTCAGATAAACTCCTTCGTGTTGATCACTACACTCTGGCAGAGCAGTGGTCCCCAACCTTTCTGAGACAAACACTGACTTTGATCCAAATAAACTTTATTAACAAAGTCTTTCTGATCATGGCGACTGTGGCTCTGATGTCTGCTGTTGTGTCCTTGGGCAAGACATTTAACCCTGTGGACTCAGCTCCTGCAGGAGGATCAGTGAGGACCAGGAGGAGCAGGAGGATCAGGGAGGGGCTGCTGCTCTGACTGCCACCCCCGACCCAGACATGGATAAAGGGGAAGAAAATGGATGGATGATTTTGACAAAGAACCACTGATTGAAAAACACTGATATAGATTAAACATGTAGCTTTCAGACTGGCTCCTCCTCTGCACCTCCTCCCTGGCTCCTCTTCAGACTGGCTCCTCCTCTGCACCTCCTCCCTGGCTCCTCTTCAGACTGGCTCCTCCTCTGCACCTCCTCCCTGGCTCCTCTTCAGACTAGTTCTTCCTCTGAAACTCCTCCCTCTGCACCTCCTCCCTGGCTCTTCTTCAAACTGGCTCCTCCCTCTGCACCTCCTCCCTGGCTCCTCTTCAGACTGGCTCCTCCCTCTGCACCTCCCGTCAGTACAGTCTCACAGTGATCTATCGTCCATAATGAAGTGGTTAAGTTTATTGAATGTCTCCTTTAAAGCTCGGTGCTGTGAGTCCAACACTTCCATCCATTTCATTGGATGAGTCGCAAACCCATGTCATTAAAAATGAGTTTGCTTCATTTTCTTTAGAACTCACTCAAAGATAAAAACATCACACACAAAACTCTCCAGACCTCCACACAGTAAAAACATCTATGTATACACACACACACACACACACACACACACACACACACACACACACACACACACACACACGGCCTGACGCAGCAGGACCTCAGCTTTAGGGGCAGTAACACGTGTCTTTCCGGACACATGACATTATGTCGTTAAACAAATGGGTAATCTATAAAATCTATAAGAAATCATGAACCGGAGATGGCTGCTCCTCCTCCTCCTCCACATCAAAGCTATACTCTTCATCCCCATCCTCCTCCTCACAGACATCCGTCATCGGAGTGGCCCCTGAGAAAATATCGCCGGGCAGTGTATTTATTAGGGAGAATCAATACTTTGTTCTGTGGCAAAGGCGAGCTCCCTCTGACCAATTACTATCCTCTGACCAGTGGCTTTCACAACAGGAGCTGACAGAAAGAAACACACTAATGCAAACGTGGACATGAGACGTGGACATGAGACGAGGACATGAGACGTGGACATGTGGTCGTAATGTTGTGGCTGGTCTCTTTCTGTCGCTCTGAGCATCATTCAGATGGACTCTTCGGTCTCGGGATGATCCACTTTTCTACTGTTGAAAAAACTGTAAAGGTTTTTCTCCAAATCTTTGTGAGTTCCTGGAAACGCTGAGAGCTGATGTTGGACCTCTCTGGACTGGACTGGGCTGGACTCTGGGTTCCTCCAGGACTTGGGTCTGCAGTTGGACTGAGCAGGAGCAGAGCCCCTGGTGAATTGCAGGGACAACAGTGCCATCTAGTGGTAAACATCTGTAAGTACATGTCTTATACTGGACATTTGTGTTTAACTCCAGGACAATGATGAAGCTAGAACTCTCAGATCAGTCATTATGCTGCTGAATACAGCTGGGCCACAGTTTATATATTTAAATATATATATATATATATATATATTATTTATATATAACAAAATAAAACATCTTGGGTCTAACTTTACTTCTAATGACACATTATTTAAGATTTTAGAACAAATGTAAATATATGGTCGTATTCCTGAAACAATAAGCTTTAAAGTGAAGTATAACATGCCATCGTATTTGTTCGATGCTGCGAGTTTCTGTAACAGAGATTATTGCAAATCATTTCAGGGGCCGCTAAAAATGGTCTCCCAGGCCAGATTTGGCCCATGGGCCTGAGTTTGCCGTGGTGTATGTTTGAAAGAGAGATGGCTCAGAGGAGACAGAGGGAGTCGAACCCTGGACCCTCCTGCTGTGAGGCCACAGAAACCATTGTGACATTTAAAATCACTCTGTTTCTCCCTGAGTCCTGGAGTCAGACATGTTCTCTCACATACACACCACAGGGAAGTTTATCTGTATAGCACAGTTCATACAGGCGACTCACAGGGCTGAACTGAACAGGCCTGTCTCTGCCTCTCTGTCTCTGCCTCTGTCTCTGTCTCTGCCTCTGCCTCTGTCTCTGCCTCTGCCTCTGTCTCTGTCTCTGTCTCTGTCTCTGTCTCTGTCTCTGTCTCTGCCTCTGTCTCTGTCTCTGTCTCTGCCTCTGTCTCTGCCTCTGCCTCTGCCTCTGCCTCTGTCTCTGTCTCTGTCTCTGCCTCTGCCTCTGTCTCTGCCTCTGCCTCTGTCTCTGCCTCTGTCTCTGTCTCTGTCTCTGCCTCTGTCTCTGTCTCTGTCTCTGCCTCTGTCTCTGCCTCTGCCTCTGTCTCTGTCTCTGCCTCTGTCTCTGTCTCTGCCTCTGCCTCTGTCTCTGTCTCTGTCTCTGTCTCTGTCTCTGCCTCTGTCTCTGTCTCTGCCTCTGCCTCTGCCTCTGCCTCTGTCTCTGTCTCTGCCTCTGCCTCTGTCTCTGCCTCTGTCTCTGTCTCTGTCTCTGCCTCTGTCTCTGTCTCTGTCTCTGCCTCTGTCTCTGCCTCTCTGTCTCTGTCTCTGCCTCTGTCTCTGTCTCTGTCTCTGCCTCTGTCTCTGCCTCTCTGTCTCTGCCTCTGCCTCTGCCTCTGTCTCTGCCTCTGCCTCTGTCTCTGTCTCTGTCTCTGTCTCTGCCTCTGTCTCTGCCTCTCTGCCTCTGTCTTTGTCTTTGTCTCTGTCTCTGCCTCTGCCTCTGCCTCTGTCTCTGTCTCTGCCTCTGCCTCTGTCTCTGCCTCTGTCTCTGTCTCTGTCTCTGTCTCTGCCTCTGCCTCTGTCTCTGTCCCTGTCTCTGCCTCTGTCTCTGTCTCTGTCTCTGCCTCTGTCTCTGCCTCTCTGTCTCTGCCTCTGCCTCTGCCTCTGTCTCTGTCTCTGTCTCTGTCTCTGCCTCTGTCTCTGCCTCTCTGTCTCTGCCTCTGCCTCTGCCTCTGTCTCTGTCTCTGCCTCTGCCTCTGCCTCTGTCTCTGCCTCTGTCTCTGTCTCTGTCTCTGCCTCTGTCTCTGCCTCTGCCTCTGTCTCTGTCTCTGCCTCTGCCTCTGTCTCTGTCTCTGTCTCTGCCTCTGTCTCTGCCTCTGCCCCTGTCTCTGTCTCTGCCTCTGTCTCTGTCTCTGTCTCTGCCCCTGTCTCTGCCTCTGTCTCTGTCTCTGCCTCTGTCTCTGCCTCTGCCTCTGTCTCTGTCTCTGCCTCTGCCTCTGTCTCTGCCTCTGCCCCTGTCTCTGCCTCTGTCTCTGTCTCTGCCTCTGCCTCTGTCTCTGTCTCTGTCTCTGCCTCTGTCTCTGCCTCTGCCCCTGTCTCTGTCTCTGCCTCTGTCTCTGTCTCTGTCTCTGCCCCTGTCTCTGCCTCTGTCTCTGTCTCTGCCTCTGTCTCTGTCTCTGCCCCTGTCTCTGCCTCTGCCTCTGCCTCTGTCTCTGTCTCTGCCTCTGCCTCTGTCTCTGTCTCTGCCTCTGTCTCTGTCTCTGTCTCTGTCTCTGCCCCTGTCTCTGCCTCTGTCTCTGTCTCTGTCTCTGCCTCTGTCTCTGCCTCTCTGTCTCTGCCTCTGCCTCTGCCTCTGTCTCTGTCTCTCTGCTCTGTCTCTGTCTCTGTCTCTGCCCTGTCTCTGCCTCTGTCTCTGTCTCTGTCTCTGCCTCTGTCTCTGCCTCTCTGTCTCTGCCTCTGCCTCTGCCTCTGTCTCTGCCTCTGCCTCTGTCTCTGTCTCTGTCTCTGTCTCTGCCTCTGTCTCTGCCTCTCTGTCTCTGCCTCTGCCTCTGTCTCTGTCTCTGCCTCTGTCTCTGTCTCTGTCTCTGCCTCTGTCTCTGCCTCTGCCTCTGTCTCTGTCTCTGTCTCTGCCCTGTCTCTGCCTCTGTCTCTGTCTCTGCCTCTGCCTCTGTCTCTGCCTCTGTCTCTGTCTCTGTCTCTGCCTCTGTCTCTGCCTCTGCCTCTGTCTCTGTCTCTGCCTCTGCCTCTGTCTCTGTCTCTGTCTCTGCCTCTGTCTCTGCCTCTGCCCCTGTCTCTGTCTCTGCCCTGTCTCTGCCTCTGTCTCTGTCTCTGCCCCTGTCTCTGCCTCTGCCTCTGTCTCTGTCTCTGTCTCTGCCTCTGTCTCTGTCTCTGTCTCTGCCTCTGTCTCTGTCTCTGTCTCTGCCTCTGCCTCTGTCTCTGTCTCTGTCTCTGCCTCTGTCTCTGCCTCTGCCCCTGTCTCTGTCTCTGCCCTGTCTCTGCCTCTGTCTCTGTCTCTGCCCCTGTCTCTGCCTCTGCCTCTGTCTCTGTCTCTGTCTCTGCCTCTGTCTCTGTCTCTGTCTCTGCCTCTGTCTCTGTCTCTGCCCCTGTCTCTGCCTCTGCCTCTGTCTCTGTCTCTGTCTCTGCCTCTGTCTCTGTCTCTGTCTCTGTCTCTGTCTCTGCCTCTGTCTCTGCCTCTGCCTCTGTCTCTGTCTCTGTCTCTGCCTCTGTCTCTGTCTCTGTCTCTGTCTCTGTCTCTGTCTCTGCCCTGTCTCTGCCTCTGCCTCTGTCTCTGTCTCTGTCTCTGCCTCTGTCTCTGTCTCTGTCTCTGTCTCTGTCTCTGTCTCTGCCTCTCTGTCTCTGCCTCTGCCTCTGTCTCTGTCTCTGTCTGTCTCTGTCTCTGCCTCTGTCTCTGTCTCTGCCTCTGTCTCTGCCTCTGCCTCTGTCTCTGTCTCTGCCCTGTCTCTGCCTCTGCCTCTGTCTCTGTCTCTGTCTCTGTCTCTGTCTCTGCCTCTGTCTCTGTCTCTGCCCCTGTCTCTGCCTCTGCCTCTGTCTCTGTCTCTGTCTCTGCCTCTGTCTCTGTCTCTGTCTCTGCCTCTGTCTCTGTCTCTGTCTCTGCCTCTCTGTCTCTGCCTCTGCCTCTGTCTCTGTCTCTGTCCTGTCTCTGTCTCTGCCTCTGTCTCTGTCTCTGCCTCTGTCTCTGCCTCTGCCTCTGCCTCTGTCTCTGTCTCTGTCTCTGCCTCTGTCTCTGTCTCTGCCTCTGTCTCTGCCTCTGTCTCTGTCTCTGCCCCTGTCTCTGCCTCTGCCTCTGTCTCTGTCCCTGTCTCTGTCTCTGTCTCTGCCCCTGTCTCTGCCTCTGTCTCTGCCTCTGCCTCTGCCTCTGTCTCTGTCTCTGTCTCTGCCTCTGTCTCTGTCTCTGCCTCTGTCTCTGCCTCTGTCTCTGTCTCTGTCTCTGCCCCTGTCTCTGTCTCTGCCCCTGTCTCTGCCTCTGTCTCTGCCTCTGCCTCTGCCTCTGTCTCTGCCTCTGCCTCTGTCTCTGTCTCTGTCTCTGCCCCTGTCTCTGTCTCTGCCTCTGTCTCTGTCTCTGTCTCTGCCTCTGCCTCTGTCTCTGCCTCTGCCTCTGTCTCTGTCTCTGTCTCTGCCCCTGTCTCTGTCTCTGCCTCTGTCTCTGCCTCTGCCTCTGCCTCTGTCTCTGTCTCTGTCTCTGTCTCTGCCTCTGCCTCTGCCTCTGTCTCTGTCTCTG